TGAAAGACGCGATGGAAATGTGAGTTTTCTAATTGTACGGTCTGTCTGCAGTTTGCTCTGACTTTGTCGGAAAGTTTTTGATGTTTATTTTGAAGCTCTGAGCCTCTGGAGTGTGAAGTAGGATGATTTGTGACATGTGAAAATTGACAGCCTTGTTACATGCAATCTAAACAGGATATAGGGAAATCAATAAGATGAGCCTTTTTTTATAATTCTGAATATTCAGCTGATAACCTTGACAATCGATACACACAGCAGTAATGCATTAGCATTTAAAATGGGAATACAAAGGTCCAACACAGAAGTTAACATGGTAAGAATCTGCCCTGCTGTGAGACAAACAGTCTTGCAACTTTTTCTGTGTGAAAGTTACCAATGGTGGCAAATGCGCAATTCTTTTAAACACTAGAAAAATCTTTTCTTAATAGAGCCCTATCACGTTGTAACTCAAAGCATGCGAGAATAATTAGGTGTCAGCCTGGCTCAGTGAAATGCACTCTCGCCTCTGAGTCAGAAGGTTGTGGGTTCACAAGCTCCACATCGGGACATGGAGCTCAGAGACTCATCAAGCATTTTGAAGCCGAATGAGGCAATCAATTTGCACATAGCAATGACCCACAACCAGCCCTGAAGTGAATGACTAATTTTATCCGGGGGAATCGTTGGTCAGGGCAGCAGGAGAGAAATAATTTCCTCGAGATATTAAATCGAAGCTCTGTCTGTCTGCCTGTGGATGTTAAAGATCCCATGGCACTGTTCAGAAAGAGAAGGGAGTTTCCTCCTGTGTCCTGCCAGCAATCCCCCAGATAAAATTAGTCATTCAGTTCAGTGTGAGAATGTGGAATTTGTTGGCAGAAGCCGTGGTGGAAGGGAAAAGGAACAATGTATTTAATAATAATCCTTGCATTTGATACAGTGCCTTATCACGTTGCTGAGACATTGCAAAGCGCTTCACAGTATATATTGTAAAGTGGAATGACTGTGTATTTTGTGGAAGAAAGGCTGGCAGCCAATTGCGCACAGCAGCGTCCCACAAACAGTCGTGGATTGAATGACCAATTTTTTTTGGGTGGGGGGATTATGACCCTTGGAAAGTGATCCACCAATTAATTCATTAACAACCGGGTTCCTACTTGCTGCTAGAAGAGTGTGCAGTAAGGAAACTTGCCTAAGGTTTCGCCCTGCCTGAGGATCGAACCTGGTACCTATCGCTTGCGAGGCAAGCGGGCTAACCACTGAGCTACAGAGGAAACTTGCTGTGTACATGAGGGAGAGGGGAATAGAGAGGTATAGGAGAGGGGTGTGGGAGGAGGGGCGGGGGCTCAGCCGACTTCGGCAAAGACAATCAATGACTGCCCTGTAATGGCCCACGTAATTCATGTTCTCATTTTCCGTTTAGTATTTTTTCTTTTGCAAAGTGTACAGCAGTCTTCCTGCTTATGCTTCCAGCTGGAACAAGCTGTTGAACTGTGCATTTCTCAACGGTTATCGCCAGAGCAGCTCCATAAATATCTGACACACTTGAGGCAGAGCGAGTCAGCTGATGTCAAGGTGGTTTGGGCTGTTGCCTGAGATAGACCACTGTGTCTTGCTGCCATATGACACTTTCCACACTGTAACCCAGCCAAGCATTATAGTCATAGTCAGCCCTGGAGCTTTGAACTTGTTGGTGTTGCTGGTTGGAAGCCAAAGTATTGAACTGTTTGCAATACTGTCTGCAACAAGCGGTTTTTTTTTTTTTTGCAATGATTTTTCCTTTGCTGTGAATATGGATTGAGTAAGTGGATACCAATATAACAAGCAAATGGGGAGGTTAGGAGAGACAATTTCATGCCCAGAGAAGGATGTGGAATGCCCTGCTGGGAGTAGTGGTTCAGGCAGAATCCATATTGGTTAGCTTTCGAGATGGAACTAGCCAAATACCTTAAAAAGAGGGGTATTGAGAAATGGGTAGGTAAATGGGTCTGAAACGGTTGCTCCTGAGGGAAGCCGGCACAGACACAATGGGCCAGATGGCCTTCTTCTACGCTGTGTGTGTCTGTGGTTTTACTGAGTTAATTTTATTTGGGAAAACATATTCTTGTCAACTCAATGGAGGGGGAGGAGTAAGAACAACACATTTATGCATTTTGGAAACCTTTGACATGGGAACTTAACACGTTGAAGAAACGCCTCACAGTAAAGTGTTTCTGTCTCTCCAAGATGCCACCTTAGTTTCTCTGGTAGCACTCTGACCTCTGGGTTAGCCCACAGTCCAAGCTGACTCTCCAATGCAGTTTTGGAGGAATGCTGCGTTGTCAGTGGTTCCATCCTTGATTGAGGCCCTGTCTGCCTGTTTAGGTGGATGTTAAAGATCCAATGACACTGATTGAAAAAGAAGGGAGTTTCTCCTGGTGTCCTGGCCAACAACCCCTAGATAGAATTGGTCATTTACTTCATGGCTGTTTGTAGGACGTTTCGTTGCTTTGATTGGCTATGGCATTTTGCAAATACACAGTGGCTAAACTTTACTGAGATGCGCTTTGAGATGTTTCGATGACGTGATAAAGTCCTACATCAAAGATTACCAAAATGCCTAGCCAGACAGTGATCTCAATGGCAAGCTATATGGTTTTAGCTATTTAGACCACAGTGGAGTCCTGTAGCTCAGTGGTTAGAGTAGTCGCTTTGCAAGCGAGAGACCTGAGTTCAATCCCAGACAGGGCAAAACCTTGGGCAAGTTTCCTTACTCCACACACCTAATAATAATCCCTCCAAAACCAAAAACAATAATAAATTGGTCATTTTCAATCTACGACTGTTTGTGGGACATTGCTGTTCGCAATTGGCTGCCGCGTTCGCCCACAAATATACAGTCAATTCACTTTACAGTATATTTCGTGAAGCGCTTTGGGACGTCTAGAAGCCGTGAAAAGCGCTATATCAAATGCAAGGATTATTATTATTATATCAGTACTTCAACGCACACTCTGGTGTCCCCAAGACTAGTCTCTTGCCAACCTGCGCCTAATACTTTCCGGAATTAGGTAAGCAGGATGCCTCCCTCCAGGGAGAGAGTGCGCATTCCATTCCAACAGTCTATCTCTGGGATTTCCATGTGCAGATGGGATGCGTGGAATTCTCAGCTTGGTTTGGATACTCTTAAACATGGTACTAAGTTTCCGCATGTGACAGACATCTGGCTGACCGGAAAGAAAAATGCGTAGACCAATTATTCTTACTCCTGCTCCCGTTTCTAGGAATAGATCAGGCAAAGCATTGAAAGTTTTTGTAAATATTGCTGATGTAGAATTCGCAACCGGAATAATGGAAAGGTTACTCTTAACCTAGAGTTGCACGGATAAGCAGAGCTTTGCATTGGGGATTTTTTTTGAAAAGTGAGTTTGGGTGCAATTATTCACAAATTCACAGAAAGTTTTTCAGCCCTGGCAACATTGTTATCAGCAAACTAGGTTCAAGGACTTTCAGCTTTACTTTTGGCAAAATGAATGATACTGTGAGATTCTACATAGAAGTTTTTTTTCTCACACATTGTGTTGTATCTCAAAGGATTTTTGGCTGGAAGTCAAAACAAGTTATTGCCAGCCTTGTACAGATAAAGGTGAGGTCATGTTTGGAGATTGTGTTCAGTATTGGGGCATCCAGTCTGTAAAAGGAGTTTAATCTGTTTGCAAGAATTCAGAGAAGAGTGATAAGGGTGATTCCAGGACCTCAATGACACGCAGCGAGATTTGCAGAGCTCAATTTATCTTCGTAGGAGAAAAGAAGATTGGAGGGGGAAGGGACTATTTAGAGAGAGGAGACGTACACGATAAATGATATTAATGTTGGTCTAGTATTTGACTTTGACTAGTTTTACGGAACTAGAGGGCACGGGTTCAAAATGAGCAAGATTGTGAGATTCTACATCAGAAGTTTTTTTTCTCCTCTCCCAAATTGAGTGGTCAGCATTTAGATTGTAGAACAGACACCCAGCAAAGGCAATTGATGTTTTCAATTAACTCCTTGAAAAGAAAATGGATAAATATCAGGGGCCCCAAATCCTCTTGATCTTTCTTAACCTTACAACTATTTAGTCTTAAATTTGGAATTCTTAAAATTCTTCATTTGGAGTCCTGTAGTGTAGTGATTAGAGCACTCGCCTCACAAGTTAGAGGACCTGGGTTTGATTCCCAGGCGGGGAAAAACCTTAGGCAAGTTTCCTTACTCCACTTGCCTCTGTTTACCTAGCAATAAGTAGGAACCCAGTTGTTAGTCAATTAGCGGATCGCTCACTGTGCGTAATAATCCCTTAAAAAAAAATAATTTTGTCAGTCAATCCACATCTGTTTGTGGGACACTGCTGTGCACAATTGGCTGCACGTTTCGCCCACAGAATATGCAATCAATTCACTTTACCTTATATTCTGTGAAGCGCTGTTTCAATGACGTGATAAGACGCTATATCAAATGCAAGGGTGAAATGTGTCAAAGACATGTTGACACCTGTCAAAGAGCTTCACAGAATATACTGCAAAATGGTATTGTGTACTGTGTTGGTGAAACGCAGCAGTCAATTATGCACAGCAGTGTCCCACAAACAGTTGTCGATTGACTGACCCAATTTTTTTTTTTGACGGATTATTACCCCCGTAAAGCGATCCGCCAATCGACTAACAAACGGGTTCCTACTTTCTGCTAGGCAAACGGAGGCGTGTAGAGTAAGGAAACTTGCCTAAGGTTTCATCCCGCCCTGGAATCGAAACCAAGTCCTTTCGCTAGCGAGGCAAGTCCTCTAACCACTGCACTACGGGACTCCATGCTCCATGCGACTCCATGTCCCAATGAGAGACAATAATCTCACATCAAAACTTGGAAACACGGTATAATTTCTTGCAGTAGTGAGGGGCTAAGTACAACGTGAGGTGCTGGACAGAACATGCACAGCCACTGAAATGTTAATACACGTTCTTTTGCATTGTGTTCTCATAATTTGTGTGATTTTTGTTTCCTTCCAACAGATTTTTACAAAATGGGATTCGCGGACCAGACATTAAATTCCTACTTTGATTCTTGGTTTGGACCAAGGGGTGAGTAGGAGTTAAAATCGTTGATAATTGCACGTGTTATTTTAATGCAGGACAAGTTAGCATTTCAGCTGTTCGCCAATGAATATTTTATCGCATTTTTCTGCATCCTTTATGATAATATTGCATCTGTTAAACATGACTCTTTAATGGACCAAATGACACTCACTCGAGGCAAATTTACGTTTCACTATGAGTAGGGGATAAATATCATCCTAAAATGCATGTTTCTTCAGCTGTGCAGCCATTCATTCTTCATACATTTTTAAACTTTAAACCCCCTAACTCAGCAATGACTCTTAAGAAAAGCGCAGCATGTTAGACGGATCCAATAAATGAATAATAAGACCTTATGAATTGTTTTCAGAAGGTCAGAGCGGTGGCACAGTGCCTTAGCAAAACAGTCAACTGCAGGGTGAGAGACATAGAATCTCGATGTCCCACTCACAGATTTCCATGGCTCGGCCATGCTTCCATTGGAAGGTGCTGGAAAATCCAATGGGAGGATGTCCCAAGGAGAGACGATAACTTAATTTCAAAAGAGGAAGAGGCCTGGGAGACATTCGGCCAATTACTTTGTAATCTATTGTGGGTTCACAACAAAGGTGAGGCGAAGAAAGAGAAAGTGTGCAACTATCAGAAAAAGAGCTCCAAAAATCTAATTTTACTGTCCTGGTAAGGGTGAATTCTCTTACACTGATGCACACAGGAAGAAAGTCTCAGTTAGTTCCTTGTGCTCCTCTCAGACTCGTGTTTCCTATTCTCCTCTTACCCAGGCAGGATGTTCCAATGCCTGCCATATACAGTGGAAGCCATTTTAGCCGGACGGCAGTTAACTTTGGATGCCGTGTAAATCGGCCAAAACGTCCGGCTCCAATTCAGTTGTATTCCCAGCCGTTTGAAATATGCCTGTTAATTCGGACAAAAATCCAGGCAATCCGGTTAAGAGAGCTTTGGTTAACCTCGGACACCACTTAAACTGGACAAAACGGTTTAAGTGGCTTCCACTGTATGTAGAATTTCTGTGCAGTGTTGCAGTAGTGTTCTTACAAACGGGATTAATTCATTTGTGGATGACCAGTTCATTTGAGGTCTTTCAATTTTACTATCGTTTTCACGATTACATTGATAAGCTAATGAGTTTTGTGTCTACAATACACTGATAAGATATCCATCTGTGAGTCTCACAAGTACAACTGCACGTAGGGGTGCGTGGCAGTGGTACAGAGTTGGACAATGTGGATGTTTATGGGCTGTCAATGCAGGATTAGAAATCAGCAGCTCCACAAAGAAGCATCTGAAGAATACATTGATATGCACAATGGTTCATCATACAATGTTACAAACCAAACCACAATCAGCATAAAGACTTGGTGAGTGAGGACTGGACACACCACGTAAAGAAGGATATGTGGGGTGAGATCTGGTGTAGGACGCCTGCTTTATTTTACCATTCCTAACAGAAGGACGTATCGAAACGCTTCACATGATTTGCTGTAAAGTGTGGCGACTGTTTAGTTGTAGAGGAACACAGCAGCCAATTTGCGCGCAGCAAAATCCCACAAACCACCACGAAGCGAGTGACTAATTTTATTTGGGCGATTAATGGCCTTGAGACAAAGCGGGAGAAATTCCCTTCTCTTCAGATAGTGGCACAGGATCTTTAACATCCACCTGAACATGCAGACGGGATCGCGGTTTTTCGGGCTCATACGTAGGACGGCATCTCTAACATATCCCCAGCGCTGCGTTGGAGTGGATTTGAGTCTGTGGTCTGTAATGGCTGCACCGGGTATATCTTTACTCACTGGGCTGTGGGAGGAGGTCAAAGTTGGTTATTTTAAATAGATGTATGGTCTGACCCTGGTGAACGAAGCTGTTCCCGGGGAACACTGGAAGGATTAGTTTGAATCGTAAAAGGGGTCAATAAAGCGCTCAAACAGCAAAACCGCAGAGCAAAAAATTGGCAGAAAAGTGTCTCAGGATGTAGGGAGTGTCTCCAGCAAGGAATCCTGTGTAGCCTCAGCCATCTCGGGTCGCAGCTGAGATCTCGTGAGACACAAAGCTCTTTTATCTGCTGTGAAGATTACATGATATTTTTTTCTCCCCAAAGGAGCAGAGCTCCCATAGCAGCATTACAAAGACACTCTTCCCTAAGTCCCTCGCTCTCTGCTTTCAGAACCATCTGCCACTTGATCGCTTTGACTGTGCCTTTGGCCAACTCCCTCCTACCCCTCCACCGTCCCCCCCGTCCCCCCCACTCAAAAAAAACACACACACTCCACCTCCTTCTTCACTCAGGAGCCCTCTCCACTCCGTCTCCGTAAAGCACTTTGAGGCATTTTCCTGCATGGAAGCGCCCAAGTTAAGTGCAAATTATTATTTGTGTGTGTTTCGCCCAAAAATATACAGTCAATTCACTTTACGGTATATCCTGTGAAGTGGTTTGACGTGATAAGGCGCTATATCAAAGGCAAGGATTATTATTATTTGATGATGCTGATGTTTATTATTGTTTGGGGAAAAAACAATGAATGGAGGTTAGGATAGGTGGGGTTGCAGCACAGGCTCGATGGGCCAAATCACAGCCTTCTGCCCTGTAAATTTCCACGATTCATTGAAAAGACAAGAGAGCAAATGGAAAGCAGACAATACCACAAACTGTCCCTGCAGGCACACAGGGTTTTGGATGTTGCGAACTTCAATCCCACAGCACCACAGCTATGAAAGCGGTTCCCTCCCACAAATGAATGCATTTGAAAAAAAGGCTTACCTCAGCTGTTTAATACACTAGAGGCTTAAACTGATGCCTCCTTTTCAACTGCACCTAAAAACATCCCGGTTTGTAAAAGCCAGCAGTGGGTCTTTTAGTTTATATTTGCTGAAGCAAATTACTTCAAAGCTTATTACCCCCACCCCCTTTAAATTGGACCCTCCTTTTTGACTTGTTTCCCTTGCAAACAAACTTTAATAATATTAATAATAATAATCCTTGCATTTGATATATAGCACCTTATCACATCGTTGAGATGTCACAACGCGCTTCACAGAATATACACAGAGTAAAGTGACTTGACTGTAAAGTGAAGAAACCCTTACAAAAACCTTACAAAGGAGTGTGAAAGGTGAATTATTTGTAACTCGTTTGCAGAGATGGAAAGCCGACCTGAAAGCGTGGAGACGTGCATCCACAATTATTTCTGCCACAGGGGGAGAGGACTAAGGCGTTTTCTCAGTTCCCCTGTGCGTTTGCTATGTGTGTTTGTGGAAGCAGTTTCTCAATATTACATTTATTTTTTTATAGCACATTCTGTTCTATCCTCCCTCTCACCCAACACGTTTGTTTGACTGTTGTAATCATTTCGACGAAAATTACTGAGTAACAGGCAAGCTGTTTAACCTTCTTTTCTCTCCACAAACCCCCCTCCTTTGAAACTAGTGGTTTCACAAATTTCCCTTTGTCCTTTTTTAAAAAGTCTTCTGCAAACATTCAGCAGTGGAAACCTTTCAATTACTTCTGCCTTTTTTCCTATGACATACTTCCCTGCATGTCGTAATCTTTTCCTGTTTCACTGATGTATGTCAGTGTAAAGTCTGAATCATCTGAATCTGGGTGAGGTTTACCAAATGTACTGCTTTCTGCCTGCTCACATGACTGCGCTAGCGGCTGGCGGCTGGCTTTGCTCAGCACTGTTATTTATTCCAGTTCAGTTTTTTCCACTGTTTAGAGGGGGTGGTCCCCAGGGTGTTGTTCAACCAACTAACAAGCGGCACTCTGGAGAAAAACAGCCGTTACCTGTTTGCTACCTGCAATTTATAATGACCGCTGCAAACCATACAGATCTCTCACCTCCCACTTGGTGGTAAAGGAAATTTCATTTCCTCCCTTCTCAACACGCATTCATTGCCCTCATGAATAACTTCATGTGGCATCTCATGCATTTCGCCCGCAAAATACACAGTCAATTCACTTAACAGTATATCCTGTGAAGCGCTTTGAGACGTCTCAACAACGTGATGAGGCGCTATGTCAAATGCAAGGATTATTATTATTGCTGCTGCATATACTACCTCACCCATTGCCCCATGGGCCACCTCACACAATGCCACATGTACTGTCTCATCCATTTTTCAACGCACCATCTTATGCATTGCCCTATGCACCATTTGTTGGCGGAGTAAAACCTTAAGCGAGTTTCCTTACTCCACACGCCTCTATCTACCCAGCAGTAAGTAGGAACCCAGTTGTTACTCAATTGGCAGATTGCTTTCCGGGGAGTAATAATCCCTTCAAAAATAATTTGGTCACTCAATCCACGACTGTTTGTGGGACACTGCTGTGCACAATTGGCTGCCGGGTTTGGCCGACAAAACACACAGACAATCAATCCACTTTACAGTATATTCTGTGAAGCTCTTTGAGATGTCTCAATGACGTGGTAAAACGCTATATCAAATGTCAGGATTATTATTATTATCGCTTTCATTGCCTTATGTGTTACCTCCTGTATCGCACCATGCACCACCCCATGCGATTGTTCTCTCCAACAATGTCCCCAGAAGCAGCAATGAAATGAACAGTTATTATGTCTGTTTTTTTTGGTAAATTTAGGTGACGGAGAAGGGTGGGGGGGATTGAATTTATATCCACCTTTGTTAGTTGCATGCTGTCTGAATTTCACATTACTCTCAAATATCAGTTCCCTTCGAAATCTTCGACTACCCTTCCCAGCCCTCACTTGAATGCCTGGCAAAGGACTCATCACCGCACATGCATTCTCTTCCTGCATTCACAAAACTCTGTAGTACAACAATGATGATACTTTATAGTATTTACATTGCGCCCCTCATGCTGTGTAGCATTGCAGGGCATTTAAAAATAGCGTGGTTTGACATGCAGTTAGTTAGTGCTGGCATTTCAGTGAATTTGTACCTCTCAGATTTATCCTAGAAATACTATAAGTGGTGTCTTGTAGCTCAGCGATTCGCCTGCTCGCCTCGCA